GTTAGAGCTTCGGTAGTTTTAAGGTTTCGGATGTTCGACGTATTGGCTTCAGCGAGGGCGACGGCGGCAGTGAATATAAGTATTCCAGATCTTCTCACAGCCGGCGTTCTGCTCTGTGGTGGGCAATGGGCCTTGGTGGCTATATGTTCAAGCAGGGATGGCGGCGGCACCGACGTCCTCGTGGTGGACATGCATCCTCGGGCTCTGCCGTTGCGACGACGTTTGCTCCGACGCCGGCGTGGAGCTTGAGAGATAGTCCAGGAGAGGATGCAGACAGTGGCATGTGTTGGTAGCATCTGGAAGATGACGGATCGTGTGCTAGGATCGCGATTGGCGGTTGGCAGGTATGGTTTCCTCCTCCGACGTCTTTGTTGAGCGAGGATGTCAGATCTGGAGTTCGATGATGTATACGGGGTGTCGCATCAGTCTGGTTCGTTTAACGGCAATGGCTTCGCCTTTTGTGAGCCACCTTGGAGGTCTGCAAAGTTGCATTCAATAATGGAGCTGCGTCAAGCTCGGATGAGGAGGTGATCCGTCATATTTTCCTTTGCTGGCTATTGTGATCGTGCCGGAGGCAGGTGGCGGCCGTTGGTGTCAAGCTCATGGGGATTCACTTTCCTTCTTGGCTGGTGGTCCTTTGTGCAAAGGCTAGCATTCTACTGTCTTTCCAGTTTTTTCAGGTTGATGCTTACGTGGCTTGTAGTATGATCTTTATGATATGAATGAGACGTGTATTACCATGCAAAAAAAACAATGGCTAGAATAAGAAAAACCTTTTTGACAGTGACGAACAATGTCTTGAGTTAACCTTTCTCGTAGCATTTCGTCAGGTCTAGACACATAGTGGGCAATTTACTAATATAGAAAGTAGAGTAGTTGTCTTAATTATGCCCACTTTTGTTGTTGATATGTATTGTTGACTAAAGTGTATCATTGTGCGATGGCTACTGAAAAAACCTCTTTCCAAAGTAGGTTGGATATCCCATGTGTTTTAAACTTAAACCCTAGTTACGACTATTTATGGTAAGACTTTTTTAGCTAAACTCCTACAATGTAGGAAACCTTATCAATGGTTACTAGATAATGACCTAGTGTTATTTAACATTTTATTTTCTATAGTATTCTACCTCACTCTAAATGATGCATGGTTGGGTTTTAAAGATGGAATGTAGAAGCATTGTTGTATTTCCTTTTTTATCGTTCATGTGCACCGCTGTGTAAAGTGAGTCCTTTTGCGTCAGCTAATAAAAGCATCATTCCGTTTTGTTGGATATCTCACAGTGTATTAACCTCAAACCGTAGCTTCAAACTACAACACATTTATGACAAGAACCTTTTAAGCTAAACCATTGGAATACGGAAAACCTTATCTGCATTCTTTGTGTTATTTAGTTTACATGTTAACATGATCAAAAGGATTATTAGACTTTAAAGATGGAAACGATAAGCATGGTCTTATGTCCTTCTTGCTTGATGCACATGGTCGAGTAAAGTGTGAAGTAATGTGTGACGGTGTCCTGGACTAGGGGGTACTCACCACGTCATCTACCGACCAGGTGGGTCGGGCCGAGGAACCTCATGGCGGTTCACTAACGGGCTTCTTTGGACAGCCGATGACATATACGAGGAAGATTCCACAAGACTTGGTGATCAAGACAAGGACTCCTTTCCATCGACGTTGCCGACTAGGACTCTTGTTATTCTAGGCCTACGGTATATTATATAAGTCGAGGCCAGGCTAGTCAATAGATATATGCTAGATCATTAGAATCATACACAACATACGTTCGAGATAGATCAACTCTGTACTTGATACATCATCATCAATATAAAACAAGAGCAGGACGTAGGGTTTTACCTCCATCAAGAGGGCCCAAACCTGGGTAATCATCTTCTCCTTCGTCTCATGTTACCCATCGATCCAAGATCCGTAGCTCGGGACCCCCTACCCCGAGGTTTGCTAGTTTTTGACACCGACAATGGTGCTTTCATTGAGAGTTCCACTGTGAGATCGACGAAGTATCAATGGTTCACCTCCAGATCAACTGCGACGTTGGCATCTTCGTCGTCGGCTTGACTAGTCACCTTGGCTCGATCGAGGACTACGCGCCACCTCAGATCATCATGTTCGGACGAGGGCCTTCATCAACATCAACTCCGATCTCTATCAAGATCATGGAGGAATTATCCATGGAGCTCGGGGACTCAACGTCAACATTGCCCTTGGGCGACCGTGCTTTTTTTTTGGGCAGCGAAATTGTATCCACCGCCACAGCCTCCTCGAGTGTCGCTTTGACGATTGCATTAGTGGAATTGTGCGGAACTGCGTCTACAACAACCATGTAAAATTTCGTCACGTTTCAATGGAGGAATCTCCGATGATCTCCGATTTACCGGAGCCCTATCGAATCTGGATGGGATTCTGGATGAGTTTAGGGCGAGGGGTCCAGCACCCAGCTCGGACTTCGGTGGGAAACCCACCGTTTTTTAAAATAAACATTAACTTTATTGATTAGAGATAATTGTTACATCGCCAATCAGTAAACGTACAATGTCCCTCATTGGCTCCTCAAACCAGTCCTTCATGACTGAAAATTTAGCTAGCCTAGCAAGTTCGTGAGCCACCTTATTTGCTTGTCTATTACAATGTTCAAACCTAATAAAAGGAAAATCACAAGCTATAAAATAACAGTCATCAAACACTGCTGCCGCCGGTCCCACGGAATGTCCTCCATTCTTCATTATTTCAATCACCTACATATTGTCAGAGTTAACAACAAGACAATTGCACCCACTTTTTGTGCTAGGAATAGGCCAAACCTTAGAGCCAACTCTTCTGCTGTTAATACATCGGCACACCAATCCATCCTCCAGTTTCCACCAACGATGAATCTTCCATTATCATCTCTGAGACTAGCCCCAGCTGTGCCCCTAAGTAAATCATGGTCAAAAGAGGCGTCAACATTAAGTTTAACAAAACCCATAGGCGGTCTGCTCCAACCCCCTGTTTTACTAGTTGCCTTTGGGGAGTGTGCATTAATATAGTTAGCCGTTATAGCCCGGGCACCCATGGAAGTTTGGAGTGCGTCTTGAACCTTTCCTTCTTGAACCAGTTTGCGTCTATCCTACCATAAATACCAAGTTGTAACCGCGATTAGTTCACTTTCTTTTTGAGAACCCATTATTGCTAAGTCTTGTTTGGGCATTAACAGTAAGAACTCCAAAACTGCCTCTCCCGCACGATCAATAGCACAAGCTTTATTGATCACCTCATGCAATCCTAGTTTGCCCCATACCTCTTTTGCCTTTTGACACAAGAATAAAATGTGTTTTTATCTTCTGCCCCATTGGAGCATGATGGACAAGTGGGTGATACTTTTATGTGCCTATTGGCAAGTGTGGCATGGCACAGGAGGGTTCCATGTAAGGTACGCCAGATGAAAATCTTTACCTTTGCTGGACAGGATAATTTCCAAATCTCATGCCAAACAGGATTAACATTGGTTCTTCCCATACCATTAGTATGTTGTAATTTTGTCCCATATTGTTTGTTCCATTCCTCCAAATAAGCCGATCGTATCGTAAAAAGACCATTTTTTGTATAACTCCAAGCAATGAAGTCTAACATATTATGCATTGGTAGGGGGATTGCGAGCACCCTTTGAGCGTCAATTGGCCATAACGTTTCTTTCACCAAATCTTCATCCCAAGTACTCGTGATTGGATTAATAAGATCAGAGACCTTTGTCAGAAGGTGCCCCCTTCTTGGCGTAATGACCCTCCTATTCACACAGTTCAGGATCCATGCATCTCTCCAAATATCAATATTTTGTCCATTTCCAACCCGCCAAATATAACCATTTTTTAGCGATTTTACTCCCGCCATAATACTTTGCCAAGTAAAAGAGGACCCCTTCCTTAGTTTTGCGTTCACTAAGTCCCCATCCGGAAAATATTTAGCTCCTAAGATACACGCACATAAGGACTCAGGATTATCAATCAGACGCCATGCCTGTTTGGCTAAAATCACACCGTTCATTAGCTGTGGAATTACTATATCAACAACCCCTCAATTTCAGCTTGATCTGACCGTTCATACTCTGGGAAACCTGATGAGTGCATCGATTTTTAGATCTATTTTCTGCGCAAGAACAAATCTGACCCGAGTTCATCTTTTTTATGAATGGGATTTCGGACATCCTTTTTGAAGAAATTTTTATATGGGGTATTGTGTTTTGTTCTCAAACACATGCCCACTAATTTTGAAGCCTTTTCCGAGGTAATCTTCACCATCGCGTCGGTGTCAAACCAGACCGACTACGTTACTCCACGGTTGCCGACCTGCGGTAGACACATCGTCGCCTCGTTGAGCCAAGGTCAACCTCATCGGATCATCATCTCGGCAAGCCAACCAAGAGTTCGGCATCGCAAAGGCTAAATCATCACCAACATTTTTCCCCATGGATTGCACGGGTCGAGCGCGCCGGCATCGCCGCGTGGTCACTTCATCAAGCTGGCATTGAGCGCATCACAAGTTACGACCTGCGTCGGCATGGCCTTGTCGTCGCTTCTTCAAGACGTTGTCCACCACGCCGACTTGCTTCGACACCTCGGCTGACATGGGGACTGCAACATCGCCTTACTGACCTACTCTATCACCTCGGCTGGACCGGGGGCTTCGTCATCTCTCCATTAACCTACTCCGGGGACTTCGACATCACCAGTTGACCAGCTTCATCATGTTAGCTGGACTGGGGGGATTCGCCTCGCCGCATCGACCGTGTTGGGTCGTTACTTGGTTAAGCTGATCTTCTCTCTTGGCCACCTCGGCTTTGGGGGCTGGGACCTCGGCCAGGCCAAGGGCCACGTCTTCGTCCCGCCACAAGCCCGAACCTCATCACCAAAATCGAGCACATTATCCAGCTAAGTCGCTTTAATGCTCAAATTTTCTCCAATCTTTCAATTTTTGTTCAGTTCTACCAAGCATTATATTTGTGTTGAACAGAAAGTTGTTGTTAAAAACTTAGTTTGTCAAAAACACTTATTTTACCCAAGTTAACTAGGGGCTCTTAAAATTATATGAGCCATTTTATAATAAATGTTTTCTTCTTAGTCGTTGCAAAGTCTTTTTCTACCACTCTTTTCTTGACTCGAGTGTGTGGTTAGTAGCCGGATAGCCTGGTTTCTCTATAAAGCTGCTCGAGTTAAGTTTGCTAAAATGGCCTAAAAGAGAAGCACTCCGCCTTCGGGATGGGAGGTTGAAGCCAAAGGCTGACCCGCTTGAAGTCTTGAGATCGGATGTGTCATGTTAAAGCACGACGGAAGCACAAACTAATTTGAAGACCAATTTTTGGATTGCCACCCAAAAACTTGATTTACTTCAGTCGTAAAGTTTCCGCATAAGTTTTTTGGTTTTTCAAGCTTTAACACTTTTAACCTATTTTATGTTTTTGTTTCAGGAGGCAGGACATCCTCTTGATCGAGGTGTTCGGCATGATGGTTTTTGCTCGAGAAATATTTTCTGACCAGCAGTTCGGCATCTCTCCCGCCGAGCTGCACCTCGCTGTTGTCAAAATACATTCAATAGATGAAACAGTTCCTAAGGAGATTACGATCCTCAGGTTGGTCGGCCACACCCAACCTAAGTCTCGGGGGCTATTGGGTATACATTCGGCAGAGAATAAATTGCACTGGTGGGAAATAAATTCCGCAAAAAATCATCCCAAGGTCGAGGTGGTGCACCACCTCGGAAGTAGTCTGGCATAAAAGCTCAGCTATGAGTGATTGGGTCCCTAGAGAACTTTTTCGGGATTAAGCTTGGATGAACTCCAACTTTTTCAGAGACCGAGGTGATCTATGACACCTTAGATGCCGACTAGCGTTAGAGCTCGGTTGCAAAAAGTGTTGGAAATATGCCCTAGAGGCAATAATAAAAGGATTATTATTATATTTTCTTGTTCATGATGATTGTCTTTTATTCATGCTATAATTGTGTTATCCGGAAATTGTAATACATGTGTGAATACATAGACACCAACATGTCCCTAGTAAGCCTCTAGTTGACTAGCTCGTTGATCAATAGATAGTCATGGTTTCCTGACTATGGACATTGGATGTCATTGATAACGAGATCACATCATTAGGATAATGATGTGATGGACAAGACCCAATCCTAAACATAGCACAAGATCGTATAGTTCGTTTGCTAGAGTTTTTCCAATGTCAAGTATCTTTTCCTTAGACCATGAGATCGTGTAACTCCCGGATACCGTAGGAGTGCTTTGGGTGTACCAAACATCACAACGTAACTAGGTGACTATAAAGGTATACTACGGGTATCTCCGAAAGTATCTGTTGGGTTGACGCGGATCAAGACTGGGATTTGTCACTCCATATGACGGAGAGGTATCTCTGGGCCCACTCGGTAATGCATCATCATAATGAGCTCAAAGTGACCAAGTGTCTGGTCACGGGATCATGCATTATGGTACGAGTAAAGTGACTTGCCGGTAACGAGATTGAACGAGGTATTGGGATACCCACGATCGAATCTCGGGCAAGTAACGTATCGATTGATAAAGGGAATTGTATACGGGGTTGCTTGAATCCTCGACATCGTGGTTCATCCGATGAGATCATCGAGGAGCATGTGGGAGCCAACATGGGTATCCAGATCCCGTTGTTGGTTATTGACCGGAGAGTCGCCTCGGTCATGTCTACATGTCTCCCAAACCCGTAGGGTCTACACACTTAAGGTTCGGTGACGCTAGGGTTGTAGAGATATGAGTATGCAGTAACCCGAAAGTTGTTCGGAGTCCCGGATGAGATCCCGGACGTCACGAGGAGTTCCGGAATGGTCTGGAGGTGAAGAATTATATATAGGAAGTGCAGTTTCGGCCATCGGGAGAGTTTCGGGGGTCAACGGTATTGTACCGGGACCACCGGAAGGGTCCCGGGGGTCCACCGGGTGGGGCCACCCATCCCAGAGGGCCTCATGGGCTGAAGTGGGGAGGGAACCAGCCCATAGTGGGCTGGTGCGCCCCCCTTGGGCCCCCATGCGCCTAGGGTTGGGAACCCTAGGGGAGGGGGCGCCTCCACTTGCCTTGGGGGGCACTCCACCCCCTTGGCCGCCGCCCCCTAGGAGATCCCATCTCCTAGGGCCGGTGCACCCCCTAGGGGGGCCTATATAAAGGAGGGGGAGGGAGGGCAGCCGGACCCCTGAAGCCTTGGCACCTCTGAAAGTGCAACTATCCCTAGGTGGTTTTGGTAATTCATAACAACATATAGCTCATTGAGCTAATGCTATTCCAAGATGATTATTTCAGGAAAGCTCAATGATTGGCATGGCATGGATGTGAAAGTGGAACCCTCAAAATGCTAAGGACAAAGGATTGGCTCAAGCTCAAAAGCTCAAGACTCTTCATTTTACATTTTAGTGATCCAAGATCACATTGAGTCTTTAGGAAAAGCCAATACTATCAAGGAGGGATGAGGTGTTGCTTAATGAGCCTCTTGCTTCATGTGCTTAGTGATATGCTCCAAAACCCTCAACTACTTTCCCATATCCACATATGACCAAAACCCTAAGCCAAACTCGGTCCAACCAATTCTTCCTATCCGGCGCCACCGAGTTTCATTTGTCATAAGCCACTGCCAAACCCTAGCAAATCGGTTCTACCGATAGGGATCTCGGTCTCACCGAGATGGGGTTGCAAACTCTCTGTTTCCCTTTCGTAACTTTTCGGTCTCACCGAAAGAGCGAATCGGTCCCACCGAGATTGCAATGTAAATTCAGTGTTTCCTTTTTGTAACTTTTCGGTCTCACAGAAAGAGCAAATCGGTCCCACCGAGTTTGCCTGAGCAACTCTCTGGTTAGCTAATTACCAAATTCGGTCCCACCGAGTTTGTGTAATTGGTCTCACCGAGATTACGTTATGCCCAAACCCTAACCATATCGGTCCTACCGAGTTGCATGTCAGTCCCACCGAAAATCTCTAACGGTCACTAGGTTTACCTTTCCGGTCCGACCGAGTTTGTTGATTCGGTCCCACCGAGATTGGAAAATTGTGTGTAACGGTTGGATTTTGTGTGGAGGCTATATATACCCCTCCACCTCCTCTTCATTCGTGGAGAGAGCAATCAGAACACATACACAATTCCAACTCATATGTTCTGAGAGAGAACCACCTACTCATGTGTTGAGACCAAGATATTCCATTCCTATCATATGAATCTTGATCTCTAGCCTTCCCAAGTTGCTTTCCACTCAAATCTTCTTTCCACCAAATCCAAATCCTACGAGAGAGAGTTGAGTGTTGGGGAGACTATCATTTGAAGCACAAGAGCAAGGAGTTCATTACCTACGCACCATTTGTTACTTCTTGGAGAGTGGTGTCTCCTAGATTGGCTAGGTGTCACTTGGGAGCCTCCGACAAGATTGTGGAGTTGAACCAAGGAGTTTGTAAGGGCAAGGAGATCGCCTACTTCATGAAGATCTACCGCTAGTGAGGCAAGTCCTGTGTGGGCGATGGCCATGGTGGGATAGACAAGGTTGCTTCTTCGTGGACCCTTTGTGGGTGGTTGCTTCTTCGTGGACCCTTCGTGGGTGGAGCCCTTTGTGGACTCGCGCAACCGTTA